AAATTTCTTCTATAGATGTTGAGTATGTAATACTAAAACGACTTTAGAGGCTCAACATTTTGTTACAGATCATGTCGCTACGTCCGGTCTTGCTGTATTTGAAAATGTTTAATAATAGCAATGCCTCGTAATTTCCATTGCAAAAAGCCTGTTCGGAAGGCTTACATGGTCAAAGCATACCACTACCCCCTGCATGCTATTACATAATAATTTCCGGTGGCATCACACTACCTACGCAACACCGAACAATGTTAAAATATATTTCTATCGCAATTTTATATCGGCTGTGACTGCCACGTGACTTGCTGATTTGCATATTGAAAATAGTTTTAACATAATAACGTCCTGAACCCTGTAACTAATTGTGTAAATCAATACACAATAAAGATAAAAAACTATAATGAATACAATGGATTTATTCGATCATTTGAGTACTCCTTCTAGCAACTTATATTTTCAACGCTAATTCCTCTAATATTTCACGAGATTCATTGACTTAGGATATGTATGATAGTTCTAACATACGCTATTTTATTTCAAATTATTTTAAATATTATAACCAATAACAATGGATTAAATAGGTATAATAAAAATGGTATAGTTCAACACTTACAAAAAAACACACAAAACATCATTTTGTTGCTCTTGCATTCTGTACGTTTATTAATACACAAATTATTGATATGCTTATAAGTATCCACGTTTTCGCAGTTGTAGATATCTAATATCAGAACCTGGCGAGAATTACAAAAAACAACAACAACAAGAACAAAAAACAAAGCCAAGAAGACAAGAGTTATATAGCCTTTTTATAGGTAACTTTCCGTGTTCAGTAACTGATTGTTACTCCATTATGAATAAACCATTTCATAATCTCTCCAAACAGCAATATTTGCACAATGAGAACACTCTTTTCGACCTAGACTGTGTACCCATGATTAGCTTGATAGCAGATGTTAATCAATGACTTTCGATACATATTACTTTTAGCAAAATAATCAGTACATAAAGTAAAACTTAAAAATGTTTACGTTAGAAATAGTCTCACAGTGGAACAATGGTAAGTTTACGGATTTACACGTTCAAACCTGGGACTCGATTCCCTGCGGTGGACATAGCAGATAGCTCAATGTGGCTTTGCTCTAAAACAAACAAACGTAATCAGAAATATCGCCCCAAACTAGCTAGTAATTACTAATCGTAGTATTTATACGTCATTTAAAACAAATTAGTTAAAGTGAACATTTTCTAAAGAATAATTTTTTCTGCGAAGTACTGCACGCGAAAAGTGTTCGGATTGTGCTCTTTAATCATACGCAACTCATTGCATTAAAATAATTCAATGTACAAAGCTCAAAATTCAGTTCACTTGAAGGAAACGTATGAAAATCTCGAGGCCCGGAATGGCCAGGTGGTTGGGCGCTTAACTCGCAATTTGAGGGTCGCCAAACATGCTCGCCTTTTCTGCCGTGGGGGCGTTATAATGTGACGGTCAATCCCACTATTCGTTGGTAAAAGAGTACCCCAAGAGTTGGCGGTGATGACTAGCTGCCTTCCCTCTAGTCTTTCTGCGAAATTAGAGACGGCTAGCGCAGATAGTCCTCGCGAAATTCAAACCAAACCCGCACGGAAAAGCACAGTGAATTGCTGATACATGTTTTTGCACTAGCTACTAGCATGTATGACTTAAAATATTTTTTGTTTACCATGAATTCCAGTTTTACTTTGATTCAGTATTCAACTAAATTTCAACTCACTGCAAGAAATGTAGTAATTTCGAGAATCACTTTCAGTTCATATCAGCTTAATCTTACCGTTAATGTAAAGTCTTGTGTTTTATAATATACTTCTAGGTTAGGCTCTTCAGTCACTCCCTCTCAACTTTCACACTCTTTCTTATAAACACTTTTTATCTCTTGATTAGTGCAAGTTTCTAGTTGCTTTTGGACTATATATATTCATAACCATAAACATCTAGTTTTAAAATCAGGGAAAAAGAAATGGTGCTGTAACTACGATGGTCTACATGAAAACATTGGCTATGAAAGTGATGGAATGCATCATAGAGGCTGTGCTGTGCTAGGGGATGGCAATTAAAGATGGATGGGTCCCAAGCATTCATTTATGTGTCCGTAACTTGCTGGATGAACACATCCTTGATGATAGCAGAATACCCATAGCTGATAGAGACAGGGAAGATTTGACAGCCATCCTAAGCCATACGAGCTGAGAATACAAATCTTTCTTGAGTAGATGGAAAATGGTGTTCAGCAGTAGTTGTTAATTATCCAAACTACCAGTAATTTCTTGTTAAGGAGAAACTGTTCATAAGTTCAAACTTAGGATGACACAAAGCTACTCGAGAAGCATCTACGCTAACCGTCATTAATTTAGAAGTGGTAGAAGTCATCTAGTCAATACCACCCACCGCCAACCCTTAGCCTACTATTTACCAAGGAAGAGTGGGATTGACATATTATGACGTTACCCACGGCTGAAAGAACAAACATGTTTGGTGATGGGATTCGAACTCGCAAGCCACAGGTTGTAAGTCAAGCACCAGAAACGTTTCTAAGGTGGTAGAGAAATGTACTTCGGATAGAAGTAATCTGTTTCTGTTCCCAAGACATGAAGTATCAACCAAAATTTCTAGTTCATACAAATGTGCTTATCAAAATGAAAGTGCTTCATCCGTGGATTATTAAACTCACTGATATGAAATAGTCCCTGAAATACCACAAAGGGATATTTTAACTAATAAAGAAGCAAAGTTGAGCAACGAATCTTGAAGTGAAGGAGTGGATGTTTAATAAAGTACATTACCTGATATCATACTTATTTTAATACTTTTTTGCTTGATACAGTGAACCCGGATATCAAACAGCTTTTATCTTCTTGTAATTATTTAGATAAATGGATCCAAATGGAAAATGATAATTTTAGAATTGTGGCTTCATGGACTCTGGCACTCATAACTATTCTTATTTTGTAACTTAATTTCAGCTTAAATATAATATATTCCATCTGATCTTACTTCCAAGGGATACATTTTATCATTTCCACTCTTTAATTTGTATATAATTTTATGCGCCTGTCTTATGTAGGTAAAGTTTTTGGTGTATTTTAAGCTACGAATATGGATTCTTTGTTATTCTATTTCAAGGAATACATTATGGTTTGATATGTATACAGTTTTAATTTAGTAGAATCAGTCAATTAGACACAACATTAAATACAATTAAAATACTGGTATGATCATTTCAAAATCAACAAAAACGAACATTCAGAAAAAAATATAACACATTAATTTTACAATAAGTTCCCGCAATAAAAATGAGCCTATTTCCTATTCAAAATGCACCATGTCGTGAATAGGATACACATCCAATTTTAAATGACTACGTAATTATGTCTATAAGTAGCAGAAAGCTGAGATATGCTCTGTAAAAAACCGTAAAATAATTGAATTTATGTAATTTCATACTTACACACAGTTATAAGAATGAACAAAATTCGTTTATAACTCCGACAAAAATAGTACGACAAATTTACAAGTTGTGAGTTGTTTCTAATGACTTACTGCAGAATATTACTTTTCAAGTAGAACATCCTACGTTGTCCTCGATGATGGGCTTTCTCATTATATACAAAACAACTGAAAAAGTTTAATTGGTTTCAAAAATATTCAAATTATTATATGCTGCTTCCAAGGAAAAGATTTCCAACATTTCATGAACATAGATGTATTGTGTATGCCATTCACGTAAATCAACCAGTGAAAAGATAAAAACAAACACATACCCACACTTGCAAAAGCAAAGGTTAATAATGATAGTTGCCACATTCATCTTTCTATGGAATAACATGAAAGTAAATGAGCCAGATATGAATAGATCAACTTTGATTCTATTTATAGGAAATAAGTAAGGCGAATTTGTTTGTTTGTTTTTAAGAGCAAAGCCACATTGGATTATCCGTTTTGTCTACTTCGAAGAATTGAACTCCGGATTTTAGCATTGCTAGTCCGTAAACCTACTGTAGTCCCATCGGGGAACAAATATGGTAAAGTTTGTTTCTAATTAAGAACAAAGCTACACAATGGGCTATCTGTGCTCTGCCCACCACGGGTATCGAAACCCGGTTTCTAGCATTTTAAATCCGCTAACATACCGCTGTGCCACTGGAGGGGGTAATACGGTGAAGATTCCGTTTGAATGTATTTACAAGTATACGTATGAACAAACACGATAGGTTAAACATTGTTTGCGAAATATGATGCCAATAAAACTGTTTATATATAACTGTGCTGATGATTTCTCATAAAACCTTCTAGGTTTCCTTTACCATTACATTACTTAAAAACATTACATAAAAACTAAATTTTATATTTGTAAGAGTTTTTCAAAAAGTCATATATATTAATCTGGTGAAAAGAAAGTTGTTAGTACACAGTCAGATCTTATATATTCGATTAATAATTAAAGTCACTATTTGAGGTTTTCTTTTCATAAACAAATGCGCCTTGCATGATCTGATGGTTAAAGCGCTGAACTCGCAATATAAAGATCGTGAGTTCAAATTCCCGTTACTGTTATCCCAGTCCCATTAAATATGCTTGCCTTTTCAGCCGTGGGGGCGTTATAATAAGACGGTCAATCCCACTATTCGTTGGTAAAAGTGATGACTAACTGCCTTCCCTCTAGTCTTACACTGCTAAATTAGGGACGGCTAGCGCAGAGAGCCCTCGTGTAGCTATGCGCGAAATTCAAAAAACAAACAAACAAATAAATCCATAAAGGAAATATTCAGGTTGGTTCTTATTACTTTAATGCTTAGTTAAAATTCGAGTATCTAGTTATTTAACATCCAGACATTAAGAAAGCAATATTATGTTAAGCAGAAAAAAAGATAGAAAAAAAACGACGATGTTTGGTATGAAAGTTATCATGATTTATTTGGAAGATATGTTTTTATCTTATTTTATCCTCTTGTGTGTCTCTAGATTTGAAATCCCAAACTATTCGATAACGTATCTTGGAAACTTAATCTCTCGATTGTTTCCAAGACGAAGTTTCAGCTCTATGAGATGTCAGACCACAGCGAAAACCGATTCTTCTTGCTTTCCTCTGAAAATCCAATAATACGGAGTCCTATAAAATAACAAATTTAAAAGAAGTTAGCAAATATTATAATAACTAAGTTATCCACTGATAATATGAGAAGCGAGTGGCTATATTTTGAATACATAATTTTCTATTTTAGGTATTTAACTTAAGTAGTAAGGTTAATATATCGATATGATGTAAGTATCCAATTGGACGAAATAAACTGTAATACCTTTATAAATAATGGGTCATAATGAAGTTTACTGATATTTAGCATCTTGTAATTAAAGAAAAGGAATTACTGCTGTTTACTTTAACAATAACTTCTAGGAAACCTAAGTTACACTTGAATTGAAAATCTCTTGATGAGTCACAAACCGTAAGTCGACGTTAGCTTGGCTACAGTTAGCCCAACTATTGAAATCTATTGTTTATGAGGCATTTACTCCACTATTTATAAGTTTACTTACGCTTAAAGAGTATAAAGTATTGCTTTTGTAATTGTTTCTCCACTTCATGCTCAATTCAATCTATAAAACAATCAGTTTACTGTTTGGCAAGTTGTAGTATATGTCTGATTCAAAGTCCTAGTATTTCTTATTCGGAATAACATAAGCATGTGATATGTTACTGATAAAGTAATAAGAAGAAATATTACACCTATGATCTATTTTCGGTTACGAAATTTTTAGAGATGAGTTCTAAAAAATCCAAAAGAAAAATATCCGATCGTAATATGTATTTGTGATTAAGTTCTTATGTCATACGACACTTCTCGCAGAGTCGAAATATATACTATTAGCTCTGATCCTCCAACAAAATTCCCAACACTAACTTTCATCGTACTCTTGATTGATTTTGTATTTGTATAATGCGTAAAATGCCATTCAAAAGCAGAAGGACAGAAAGAGAAGTGCCAAACAAATATAGTTTTTCGGTTATGTTTACTAGCGAAAAACTTCCAAAATATCATAAGACGAAATATTAAACCCTATTTTATTTATTTTTCTGATATTTATATGTAATGCAAAATCTCTTGACAAATTAAGATAACAAATCCAGTGTAATTTGTTTGGTTATGAATGTATATAGCGTAGAATTCCTCTAATAAAGCTTTCAAATAGATTTCATGTTGTTATGTCGTGACAGCAATAATAGCAAACCAACTTCAGCATATGTTATCTGTGTTTTATACTTTTAGTAAAGAAAGCAATACAGCTATTTAAGTTAACCAAACATATTTGACTAATCCCCTAGAAAAAAATCAAATTTAAGTCTAACCTATATTAAAGTCACGTCACGCTTGATTTCTCGAAATAGGAGGAGTCTAAAAGCCAAAATGTATTTATCCAGATGAAATAGTCCGATTACTATCTGTACATTACGATTTTAGTGACGAGGGTGCAAGGAAGCTGTGAGAGAAGAGGTGCCTGAAACCTTATAAGTGTAGTGAGTGTTAGTATAATAAGCCTAATGTAAAGACGTAGTGTGGGATCACCTAACCTAGAGCCAAGTGTATTAAATTTATCACGGAAGTAAAAAAGCGATTCAATTTTAAATTTAAATTGTTTTTGATCTAAGCTATTTTCTGTTATATCACCAAGAGAGCAAGAGAAATATTTTTCACTCATTAGGTATATCTTATATAATTTTATCAGAAATTCTAAATGCTACAAGGTTTTTATTAAATTACTATCTAATCAACTGTTTTAATGTTTAGATCAAATTAAAAATTATATTGCTTTCTAATGATTATTATTGCATCCATGTATACAAGTTTTTTGATAATTAAAACAATATATTCACAATCGAAATCTACTTACTCGCTCGTTCCTGGAGGATCTTCTAGTCTTCAAGATAAATTCTATCATAGAAATCATACAGGCCAATCCGAGCCCAGTGAGCAGAACAACAAACACTCCACCAACATTAGCTAAACCAAGCTCATTTGTGGAGGCGCTATGACTCGTTTCTTCATGTTTACAGTGTCCTCCATATTTTCTAAACCACCACTTTTCTTTCAGTAAGTATAAAATTCCATCCTCTTGCAGTTCCAAGATGGCGTTGGATATTGGTGTTCGATATGGTGATCCTAAAAGATGTGTATTTTGTGTTTGTAGAGTGCAAATCCTCATCTAGCATTTTTCGTATATTCAATAGGCTTTTGCGTTTTTTAAATATTTAAATTTAGTCATTTGATCTCGAAAACTTGTTAGGCAACAGTAATAACTATGATATATAAGAGACAAAAATCAACCATGTGTTCACTTAGTTTGCCAAAATATCTTTTATGATTCAAAATAAATGTACATGAAAAGTAGGAAAACTGAATATATAGAGAATACGTGTATTTCTGCTCTACTAAGATAACTGGAGATTCCTACAGACGATATAGAAGCTGATTCTGCTACATGAAACCTCTCTTCCTTACGAAATAAAGTAAACGATTGAATCAAGTACAGCTCTTAAAGTACAAAAAACAAACAAACAGCTTCTTAGCATATCTTGAGAAAATATTTACAGTTTTGTAAAATAATATATATATATATGTGTGTGAATTCTATGTACTTCGTCTTTTCAATCATTCTAAAGCTAAACAGAAAATTCTTTAACAATAGACTTGCTGAATGTACCATCTTCTCAAGATAGTTAATTTTGACTTTAAGAAAAAAAAACTATTATTTTATACCTTTTGGAGTGGCTATTCCATAGCCTTTTGAATCTAATAAACCATCTATTTGTTCTAATTCGCAGTTTCTCGCTGTTATGTATTCAATGGATGCTGACTCCATCAGATAAGCATAATTGCCCCTGAGAACTCTTTCAACTCCCTCTAGGTTTGACTCGGTAAAGACTGTTGGTTGAGACTGCATTACTCTCCACATTGTTTTATACGATTCTATATTGGATTCCTAGGAATTTACAAAAATGTGATGCTGCATAGAGTAAAAGAGTTATTTCTACCTTCAAGAAACTCTGAAAGAGACAGCGAGAGTTTTATATTCTTAACAAATACTTACAGAAAAATATCAATATTTCTGAACTGGAGAAAACAATAATCATATTTTAGGAAACAGCATAAAAAAGTCTTAGTTTTGAACAGTATAAATATATTTCGGGACGTTATGGGTAAATCAAAGTAAGAAATTTATACAAAATTAGTATATTATTTAAATATACATTCTTTATTATTTGTAATTGATCTTGAACCATCTACTATTTATTTAGCACCACACAATGAAACGCACGAAAGCTTGGAATCAACAACAGCAACAAGATATATCTATGTAGTTTTAATCATCTTGCATAAGTTTCTTATCTGAATTCCAGCAAAATGCATCAAAAATTGCATAAATAGTTTTTCACCTTGAAAAAGGCTTTCGTTGATCCAAACTTTAAACAGCCATATTGGATTGATGACTGTTTAGCCAAATCATTAGCACTTTCAATTGGTGACTCCATTCTCTGTACTGTTAGAAATGCAGCAAGATTCGCCGTATATGATGAAATCATTATTAATGTAAAAAACCACCACATGATAGCTACGACGCGTGTCGATATTGCTCTGGAATATTTAAAACAATTAGTTTGGGTTATATCTGACAATTAGACAATATAGTGTCGGAAGATATGCAAAATTAATGAATTTCAAATCAGTTTTATAAAACAAAATCTAACTTACACCCACTTTTGTAAATACGTTTTTCATTGTTCATTCCATGAGTTAACCAGCATAAGATTGATGTTTAGCTTCATTGTTTGAAAAAGGTACTACGTGATACTTTTTTGGGGAGCATGATAACGTGCTATATGGTGAAGCCAGAAAGTAAATGTATTGTGAAAGAAAATTACTTTCTAGAACTTCTTTAACGTTAACTTTTTGTGGATGGAAGTTAAAAACAATAACATTCAAGTGCAATTTAAAATTATATAGGAAGAAATACTTCTCCTGTTAAAGGACGTGAAAGCCAAACAAGCAAGTTGAGTAAAATATATTATCACATGAAACGATATATATATATATATCATATATTTTAATATAATGCTAACATAAAAACGCTTTTACTACTTCGTGTAGTCAAATATTTTTGGATGCATAATCATACAATAAAAAGTATAAACATTAAATAAGTATTTATTTAAAAAAATACGTTATAATAGTGCTAAACAGTAAGATGTTTAATGTTATGTAATTTTGGGTAAAATCAACAGGAGAATATAATTTTTCCATTGCAAGCAAAAATAAAATGTAACATAATTCTTTCTTTTTCATAGGTTTATAATCCCATTAACTACAGAGGTTCACTGTACAGTACTTAAATAAAGATATTTACTTTGATAGCCTGAAAGATTCTAAGAATGCTTATTGTATCAATTTGGAAGCTTCTAAGGATGTTTATTGTGCTTTAAGAAAACTTTCAAGCAAGTTCATTGTGTATTTATGGAACTAAGTAGCCAAAACATTCGTCATTCTTCTCCATTTCTGGTGCAAAAGTTGAATGTTATAATCAAGATCTGTTAAACAATTTCACTCTTACTGATTTTCAAAGATAATCTTATGATATATAGTAGAGTCAGCTGATATGTTACTTGTTATTTGTTTTGTATTTTTAAGTCAGAGATTTTTAATACCCATATCAGCCGTCTCTACAATATACATTTACTTCAAGTGGGTTCCTCGTCATCATGAATAATCTTATATTATTAAATTTTACCTACTTTGGAGCAATTTCAGTTCCTTGTTGCATCAGGGATCCTATAGTAAACCAAAAACTATTGGATAAGCTGAACTGATTTTCTAAGACATTGGAATCTGGATTACAGGAATTAGAAGGCACCCATTCGTAAGGTGTCAGTCGAGCAAGTAGAAAAAAAAGTAAACTGACACCCAAGTACGTTGTCGCCATATACATCCAAACTTCCAAGGAAAGCGGCGAAAGAAAGGAAAATAACTTTGGAACGTTTTTGGTGGGCGTCCTGAAAAGAATACTGATTCCTAAGTTCATGAAAGGCATTGTGAAGTCAACTGCTTCCTCTCTTTCATAAGTAATGGTCAGGTCAGCAAGAGCTAAGTCAGCTTCCTAATCAGAAAACAAAACAAAAACTAATTAAGCCACTTCCCCAAATAACAATAATAACAATAAAACAGAATTCAACTTCATGGAGTGAAATCAAAATACAACAAAGCTTAGTTTCTTAAGGGAAAGAAAAACTGAATTAAATCAGGTTCCTGAAGCAGAAGAAACAATTAAACAGATTCTTTCAATGAAAAAAAAGAAAAAAAAGAGATGGTGACTGTACAATATGAGTTAAGCCAGTTTATTTGATAACTATATATAATATGAGTTAAGTCAGTTTCCTTGGTGACTGTACAATATGAGTTAAGTCAGTTTCCTTGGTGACTGTACAATATGAGTTAAGCCAGTTCATTTGATAACTATGTACAGAATGAGTTAAGTCAGTTTTCTTGGTGACTGTACAATATGAGTTAAGCCAGTTCGTTTGATAACTATGTACAAAATGAGTTAAGCCAATTTTCTTGATGACTGCATACAAGCGGTTCTCAAACTTTAATAACTGGAAGACTTGTTTTAACAAAAAATCCTTTCTTGGACTCCCAAGCCTGTCGATGTTTCCTGTTTTGAAAATATAAAGATTGTATGTTCATGAAAAACTGTATTCCAAAATTAAATGTTTTAATTCATATAAATTTAATTTTACGAAAAATATTTTTTTTTCTATAAACCATATTTTTTAAAATATTTTTATGAAAGTTAATTTCAGACATGAATCGCTGGCCTCAATTTGAGAAACACTGCTATGTACAATATGACTTAAGTCAGCTTCCTTGATGACTACACAATACTAGTTAAGTCAGTTTTCGTGATGATTATATACAATATGCGTCAAGTCAGTTCCCTTGATAATTATACAATATGCGTTATGTCAGTTTCCTTGCTGACCATCTATTATACATATAAAAGCGAAATATATTGTATGTTTGTCCGCTAACTCCTCGCACACTATTGACCAATCTCCACCAAACTTGGCATGGTGAATCCTACGTTTCCTAGAAGCAACAGGGAATTTACATCAGTCTTC